TCTAAATTTTATTTTTTAATATATGTGTGTGTGTGTGTGTGTGTGTGTGTGTGTGTGTGTGTGTGTGTGTGTSTGTGTGTGTGTGTGTGKGCSCAAGGAAGGGTTGAGAGGACCTCCCCCACCAATCAATCAATCAATCAATCAATCAATCAAACATTAATCAAGCAATCATTTTATTTTTTATTTTTTTTTCACACACTAAAAACGACCCCCCCGAATTTTATTTTTTTTTACTTTTTTTTTTTCAAGAGAGTAGGGTCAAGGCCCCGGAACCCCAATCTCCAACCCCGACCCCCAACCCCCTCTCCCCTCGACCATTGTTGGCCGCGGCAAACCGAAGTCGCCGTGGTTATGACCGCGGCCCCGCGGCCTCGACCGTGGTCCGCGGTCGTGCCCGCGGTGACCGCGGCTGCTGGGGATCCGTAGGTTCAAGCTACCCGAAAATCATGAAGCATCCCGAAGTGATGAACGTCCCAAAGACAGTGAAGAAACCCTTATGACCATCTGTTCAAGCTACCCGAAAATCATGAAGCGTCCTGAATGATGAACGTCTCGAAGACCATGAACGCAACCCTTCTGACGATCTGTTCAAGCTACCCGAAAATCATGAAGCATCCTGAAGTGATGAACGTCCCGAAAACCATGAAAGCAACCCTTATGACTATTTGTTCAAGATACCCCAAAACCATGAAGCATCATGAAGTGATGAACGTCCCGAAAACTATGAAAGGAACTCTTATGGTCATTTGTTCAAGCTAATTCGGGATGCTTAATGATTTTCGGGTAGCTTGATATATATGTATTTGAAAACTCAGTTTACTATATGGTTTCACCATAAACAACTTAAACCTCCTCCCGATTTCATGATTGGGAAACTTTTTTTCGGGATACACAAACCAACATCATTTTTCTCACTTCACAATTTTCATATGTGAATTTTCAGGTGTGCGATAACCGCTTGTGTCTGCGTCATCTGCCTCCAGAGGGTTCTGGCTATTTCTATAGGCTCTCTGCCTCTGGGCATGCCAGCAAGCCATGTTCCATTTTTTCCACTGAGCCCTGCTGGCAAACTGAACACAAGGCGTTGGAGGGGTCTCTCCTTGCTCGACTTCTCCTTTTGTTTAGCCAGGCGTTTACCGGTAGTGCAGCATGTGCAATTAGCCACTGCATGCTCCTAACTCGACCACGTCTTATCTTATTGATAAGAGCCCATGGTATTGTCGGTAGCCTTGACGCACAAGATAGAGGGCAAAGCATTAGCTAACAGTCTTAGAGGGGTCACCGCAGGCTGCTTCCATTTGTATCAAACCGGGTTCATACTCGGAAGATTAATCTTGGACAACGCTGTGACATTGTCAGAGTCAGTACGATGTATCAAATGATAAAAGAATAAACACATCAGTCCTGTTCGTCAACTTCTAAAAGGCCTACGATCAAGTGAATTGGGACTTCCTTCAATAGTGCATGGAAAGGATTCAATAGTGCATGGAAAGGATTCAATAGTGCATGGAAAGGATGGGGGTAGGACCGGATTTTCGGAACTGGATTAGAGTCCTATATAACAACGCACACGGACAAGTTCAATTCAATGGCCACCTATCAGCAAAATACAAGATGTCGAGCTCGGTCAGGCAGGGGGATCCCCTATAGCCCCCATCTTCTTGTTCATCACGGAGGCGATCGCTTTGTACTTGAGGAAGGACCCCTCGATACAGCAGCTGACTACGACACCAGACCAGCAGGGAAGGCAAGTGCAGCTCCCCACAACTTTGATGTTTGCGGATGATCTCGTTGTGTTGATCAGAGCATCTGATTCCTCCTTCCAAGCATTGACAAGAGCGATGGAAGCCTTCCAACAAGCATCACAAATGAAAATCAACTGGCCAAAGGCCGTGGGCTGGTGGCTGACGACCGAGGAAGGGGGAGGATTGGACCCCAACATTAACCCAGAAGGGCTACAATGGATGACAACACAAACCCTGCTAAGATACTTGGGAGTTAAGATAACGGAAACATGCCCGCATCACTCTATGGCAGCATAATTATTGACCAGGATCCTAGCAAAACTGGGAGCATGGCCAGCGATCTACACCTGAGCGTTCGGGAGAGCGCTCATCCTAAACGCATCCATTTTCTCAATGTTGTGTTACGCAGGGACAATCTGGAGTCCCCCAACTTAAACGACAATAACACTACAAAGAAGAGCTTTAGCGTACCTGTGGACCTCCGATCCCAGCAGGCCTAACTTCATTGCCAAAGTTGCATGGAAGCACGACACAAAGCCGAAGGAACAAGGAGGCCTAACACACTGGCTGGATTTGCAGCCACGACGTTCCGGAAGACATCATTAGCGACGCGATACTCGATTCATGTCGGTATTTTGGACATCCCTCATGAAGGAATCCGACACCGAAATGAAACCGAGTTCGGCTTGGCACCCACAAATGGACGGGCAAACAGAGCGGGCACATCAAACCGCTCAAATGATGCTTCGTACACTCATCTGTCCGGACCAGAAAGATTGGGTTGACCGCCTCCCCGACATCGAATTTGTCTACAACATTTCGTTGCATCGGGCGACTGGAGTAACTCCCTTTGAGTTGCACAACGGCGGCCGGAAAGGCTGTATCTGCGCATATCTTATTTTTCCTCGGGCAGCCAAATTGACACCCCTTGCTCTCCCGCCTCCGTTCAGAAGTACCGGGACTTGCTGGCGAAAGCCCACGTAAACATGCAAAAGGCTCAAGCCTGCATGCAGCAGCAAGCTAATCGGCATCGCGTGCCATGTCTTATCCGCGCAGACGACCTTGTATGGGTTTCCTCTGAGGAGTTCGCACTTGAACAAGATGTCTGGCGCAAACTCCTCCCCAAGTGGTTTGGCCCATGGACCGTCACATCAGCCGCAGGCGACGAGCCCGATGACCCATTGTTCGTGATTGACATCCCGCCGCATCTACCGGTCCACCCGGTCTTCCACGCCTCCTAGCTGGCTACATACCCACCAGCCAAGAGCGACGACTTCCCGGTCTGGCGATCGCAAGACCCTCCTTCCATGGATGGTCACCAGGAAGTTGATCAGGTCATCACGCACCGCAAGTATGGCAATAAGCCAATGCAGTACAAGGTCACCTTCAAACAGTGTGACCGCGACGACACAAGATGGATTTCACGAGCAGACTTGCAAGCTTCCGCACCGCTTATCTTTGCAAATTACGAGAAGCAACGACTAGCCAAGGAGGCTTCACACCCTGCCCCTCCCACCCAGACTTCGGTCCCTCCCTCCGATAGACAGCTTCGCTCTCGCAGGTAGGCTCGGTCTTTCAAGGAGGGGGGGGAGTGGCATACTCAGATCCACACGGGCCACACAAGGCCCGAAAGAAGGGTTAGGGGTTTCGTAGAGTTTAGGTTCTGTGTCACCCGTAGGACCCAGTAGGCCACTATCTCGTTTTTGCCATCTTCCCACTTTTGGCATCGACCAGACCTATGCAAATTGGCGCCAGACTTTTTGTATTTTCGCCTGGCTCCTACTTTCTGCAAACGGGCACCAGACTTTTCATATTTTCAACTGGTCCCTACTTTTTGCCATTTTTCATTTTGGGCGCCAGAACCGACTTCTGTACTTGGCGCCAGACCAGTTTTTCTTTCGACCAGACTGTTTCCTTTCGACCTAGGACACTAGGCCCAGCGTATATATAGCTGGGTCGACCTCATTTCTAGGCAGGTAGTTCTTCAGGCAGTTCACTGTGGTAGTGCTAGGCGATTCTCAGTGGTAGCTCTGAGGTAGTAGTGAGCAGTCTTCAGTAGTTGATGCACTGGTCACAGTTAGAGTAGTCTACAGCGCTGGCCGCGAGCTACGAGTAGGAGCACTGCACTGCATTGCAGCGAGCGAGAGTGAGAGACAGGCAGAGGCCAGGAGGACTTACCTGCGATGCCATAGCTCCAGCTTCGATTTTGGGACATCTACAGCTGCATCAAGGCGGCACCTTTCTGCAGGTTAGTACCTGGCATACATGCACAGAGAGAGAGAGAGAGAGAGAGAGAGAGAGAGAGAGAGAGAGAGAG